TTTGCCGCGAGTAGGACTACTCAAGGGCACTTTGCCTGTGGTGACAGAAAGATGCACCACAAGTCACACTACAGACACTCGCTCACCGCTGTAACACACCGGCCTGTTTGTGACAAAGATTGTATCAGCAGGTTGTTGTGTTTCGGCTGATTTCCTCCCAGTAAAACAGGCGTCGTATGAACACACACACGAATGGAAAATTAGTAATTAAGTAAAAAGGAGGGAGCTGGTGAGACGGAGAGGGAGATGTACGTGGACAGACACATCAGACAAAAAGGAAATTGGTCAGTAAAAAAAAAGCACGAGTAATGCCGATGCCTGTTGCCATGGTGATTGGGGTCAATGAATGGTTGCCATGGAGCTTGCTACTTGGAATTCTGGGAAGGGGATATATTGATGTGTGTATGTCTCTGTGTGCAGTCTGAACTTGTGGGTGGAGGATGATGAAAGGATATATACATTATAAATGAGAATTTACAGTTAAAATCTGTGTGTGTGTGTGTAAATACAGTACAGGCAACACTTCTGCCTTCTCCTAGCTTATTGTTTTGAAAATAAAAAGAATTACAATACACGCTACAATCAGTAATGAGTGAGCCTCCTATTTAGATCCTTTTTTATATTTATATTAGTCTTTAAAATACAAAACTAATATTGACATTTTTTAGTGAAAAGAACTGCTGTCATTATTTCATTCAAGTTTATTGACCTGGAATTGATCATCTATTTGGGTGTGTGATGGAGACAGTAAGACCTGTCTGTTCAGCCACTATTGGGTTTGAATTTTGGAGTTAATTATATGTGGTTAGGTTTAATGTGTTTTATGGTGCTACATGCTATGGGGTGGTAATATGAATTAGGAAAATGTGCAAAATTCTGAAAATTGAATAAAAGGAACAATGTAATTGATTTGTGTAATGTCTGACATGTCTACTCTCAGCAATGTCATGGATGATAGTGTCTTATGAGCCTGTGAGGGCCAGGTGCCATTAGGCATGCATGCATGCATGCGTGTCAGACAACCTCAGGCAGTTATTATTACAGTAAAACATGCATGATGAGTCTTTAAAGTTACTTTATTAATGGTTTTCTGCTCTCTTCTTTGAGGTGTGAAAATGTTGTTTTAGTTAAATTTCCCAGCTGTTAACCAACATCACACATCGTCAGCTCTCTCTTCATCCTGCTCCTTTGAATATAAATAAATCTTTTAGGTTAAAAGTTCTACATAGTTTTGGCTTGTGTAGTTTAATTAGTTGTAGTTAATTGTAGTTAGATTAAACCATGTATTTAGGTTTCTGGGTCATTGTGTCGCTTGTCATACTCTGCATCTGATTTATTCTGGTTTATTTCTGTTTGTCCGTCTGTGTGTGTGTCTGTGTCTGTGTGTGTGTGTGTGTGTGTGTGTGTGTGTGTCTAGACAAGAGGGCAGTGGATCTGCTTTCCATCCACC